TTTAGGTTCAGGGTAGTGTAAAATTGCGAGAGGAGCATTTTTGCTTAGTTACACAACAGGGTTACCCTAGTAAAATTTTGAGATATTAGCGATTTTATAATCGGGGCACAAAGTACATGGGGGCACTGACTAGCCCAGTCCTTAAATTATACAGTATTTGGTAAGAAAAATCTTTTAAACGACACTTGTTATTAAGTTACAATATAAGCAGGCATCGTCATTAAGTTACAATATAAACAGACATCGTCTTTATTAACTCATTATTAATACATAAATTTTCAGTATTTCAACTCCGTACGTAAGTAACTGATTGTGGTGGTTTTGCTAGGTTCGTGTTAACACCTGGAACATGAACGTGAATTCAAATCATGATCATGTCATATAACAACTCCTACAGGGAGATCCCTAAAATTCCGGGTTGGAAGCTTCGGAACTCTCGTCGGAAGGGCCAGAGTTGATCAATTTTGCCCAAGATCACTAAGAATTTTACTAATGAAACAATAGCGATAGTCGTTTATTAAGTGAAAAGTGCCCAGCTGATAAATTTACTATAGCCTATAGCTTTCGCTAACTCTAACCCAGCCCTAACCCCGACCCTAACCATGACGAATTCCGGCCATTACGACCCGGAAATTTTGGGATCCCCCGTAGAAAATACTACATATCAGGGTACCTCGTATAGGAATTCTGAACCCGGCTGCCCCGATTCTGAATCGGCGGATTCCCATCCGGGGTACAACATATATTTTATTAAAATCTATGTTACAAAAATAATAAGTCATGTAAGCTTAATAAATTGGTTTTCATAATCTGGCCGGGCCAAATTCTGCTAAATTTTGAAATATATTTATTATCCGGGTGGTTTTTTTTAGATACTATATATACCTGTAAAACAAGAAAAAGAAATGCGAAATCAGAAAGGGCTTTTCTTGTTCAACGAAAAATAACGAAAAAAAAACTTCTAAAACGTAATTCGAAGGGACAACCTTTAATGAAAATTCAGATTTATCATCTGTTATCAAAGATCGCTAAAAATTATCGTTACCGTTAGAGTAGTCATTACTAGTTTCTCTAATTAACAAAAATATATAGATTGCATATAACCAAATTAGATACTATATTCAACCGCGATGACTTTTAACTACTCAAGGACGTGGAACTAGTTGCGGCAGTGTCGAAAATATTTCGGCATCAATTTTAAGTATATTTATATTAACATATATTATTTAAAGTTAATGAAGCGCCAATGTCTATATTACTATATATAATAATTCTTTATAAAGTTAGGCGAATCTAAATCCATTAAAATTGACAATTCGTCTCAATAGTAACATTACTTTTTTAGCGATCAATTATTGTAGATTAAAGGGTGTTCTCAAGCAGCACGCTCGATGTGATTAGCTAATGATTGAGATAGTGCTCAACCATTATGGCGTTATTAATTAGAGAACCGATAATATGTATGATAATATGATTGAAATATACTCACGTATCTTCCTCAATGTGATTAATTTATTACGATTAATAATTAAACCATTAATGCATAAGCAAACCATCTTTATCATTATTTACAATAAAAATAATAATGAAAATGATGGATCAACGAAAGGATAAGGCGAAGATTTTTAGTATAAGTAATAAGGTATCGACCAATAAGCGCAACTCTAATAAAAAAGGACGTTTGGGCCTCTATCTCTTGTCGATCGGTTAAACGAACTTCAACTGACGTATTAAACTTTCATCACGTGTTTTATTAATCGGAATAAATTTTTTTTACTATGATAATAAAAATTTACCTTCAGACCCGTTCCCGACAGATTGATTAAGGTACTTGAGAACACCCTTAGATAGTATGTATGATTTCTTTGGTGAACGGAATCAGACAGTTCAAATTGAAGAATTTTGAAATGTTTTTTTTTCTGTTAAATAAATCTCATTTTGATAAAATAGCGATAATTCATTACCGTATTATCGTGAATAAGATCACTTTCCAAATAGATACTTAATTAATTTAAACTAAACTCAGATATTCGCGATAAAAATAACTTCAGCACTTGCGACATTAATTTCTAATCTCGAAACTAAAATTTAACTAACAGTTTATCATCATTTATTTATTAAAATTTTGCAACAAATTACATTTTTATTTTTTAATATATATATACATTATTCAACTTGTACATTTGACTATTCCTATAAATCTATCTGCTATTTCTATTTGCAAGGATACTTGGTTTCAGCTAAGAAAAAAAGAAGATAATTAGCTTGCTTGTCCTAGTCACCACGTAGAGGTGTATCCTATGATTAGGTTTATAACAACTCGGAGTTGTATCCCATAAAGGACGTAAGCATGAATGATATAATCACCCAAGAAAAACTAGAGTTAGGCCCGAGTGGTTATTTTTAAGTAAGGAAGTAAAGAAATACATGTCGACGTTAACTATGGGCAGTAACAGAAGAAAGTTCCGGAAAGCTTTGGAAAGAGAGAAAAAAAAAACTGTACTAAAAAAATCGCCTTGGGAGCGCGATGCAGCTCATCACTACACCATTCCGATTCTACTGTGCCGATCGTAGTCAGGCCCAGCCATCATATTGCCCCGCAGCGTGAACCCTGCGAATAAAGCAAAACTTTCCGTGCCTCTGTGGGTTAGTAATATTTCTCTGTTACCAACCATTGATAACGGATAAAATACATAATAGATCAGATTGAATATTGTCATTCATTTGGCTTAGATTGAAGCCCGGCCACTATATCAAGATCACGGATGGCATGCCATGGGTGACCTGCTCAAAACCAAAATAGTCATCTCGCTCTATTAAACCGATACTTTGTTATTCCAGTATTCCTAAATATTACTATATAGTAGAAAATCAAACCAAAGTGTGGCATGTCAATGCATGGCATGATGGCATCCCACTCCAATTTACGTATAACTAATCGATTGGCCAGCGAAATTTTTTGTCGGATAAAATTTAAAATTTTGTGAATCACAATACAATCTTAAAATATGTTGTTGCTTCAACCAGCAAAACGCACTATACCAGCTACCGCTCGGCTTATACAGTCTCGCACGGCAAGCTTCCGCTTAGTTTTACTCCTTCAATTTAAAGCTAATGAATTATTTATTTATTTATTCAAATTATACTTTTCTTTGCCTCAAAGTTACCAAATTTTTTTATTAACTTTCGAACTTTAAAAATAGACGAATCGACGACAAAACCATTTACAGAAGAAGTTACCGTATAAGCGCGTAATAACGCGCAGGGGTGTAATTTCGAAATTTGGCCTAAATTAAGCCTAATTCGCCATTATTCAAAATAACGCCCCTGCGCGTTATTACGCGCCTATACGGTATTCAATCTCCAGATGGTTTGATAACAGAAAAAGAGATAGGTTTAAAGAAGTATAAACCAATTCCTTTGGGAATTAATACTGCTTACGATTATAGTTGTTAGACGAAACCTTGAGGTTTCGCTGACGAAATGCGAAACCTAGTTTCGTCTTTCATCAACTAAAATCTCAAATGACGAAATGACGAAAGGTGGCGAAAGGTGACGAAACTGACGAAAGGTGACGAAACTGACGAAACGAAACTAATAAAAGATGAGAAACAGAAGCAAGTGCCACTGTCTCCTACATTTATGTTTATATAAGACTAAAATTTAAAATATCAATTTTAATAAGTAACTTAAGAAATAATTTATCAATTAAGTAAATTAGCACAATTAAGAAAATTAACAATAAAAACATGGATTTCTGTATATCGATATCAATTAAAAAAATTATTACGCCTATTGGTTAAGACTTTTTATTAATAAATTATTTAGTACGTACAGATAATAAAAATTTATAAGAGGTACATATATTTCAGATCTTCAATTATAAACTATTATATATTATACATGTCAGTTAATGTTTCACCCAAAATTGGTTTCATATTTCCAGATTTAATAAGTGATCCGAAATAAGCTATTATGATAATTTGAATTACAGAATTATGAGATCTTAAAGTTTTCAAGAGGAAAATTGTTTGAATCGATAAATTTACTAAATTTATTAATATTTATATTTATTTATTTATTTAAATATTTAGAAATGTTTGCCTATTTATAATTTCTGTAATGGCTTTTTAAAACCAAATATACAAGCCAGGTTAAACATCTTCAGCATTAAACATAAGCTTATTTGCTGTTTAAAATTTCTGTAATTGGCTTTTCAAAACCTAAATATACAAGCCGGGTCAAGCCAATAAACATAATTGAGGACTTATTTGCCAATGAACATTTTCAGCATTAAATATAATAAATAATTGCTCATTTACTTATTTATAATTATTGTAATCGGCTTTTTAAAACCTAAATATGTGTACGTACAAGTCAGAAAACATCTTGTATTAAATATAAATATAGAGTTCCTATCCATTATCCGTTTTCTATTGGATATCCAGATCTGAATTTATTCGTTTTACACCAATAGTAAATGGATATCCGGATAAATTCAGATATGATGGATAACGATAAATAAAAAGCCTTATTAATTATAGAGATAATTTTATTATTTTTATTGATAATAACTTCATCAAAAACAAATTTTCAGTAGTAAATTTTTAGCGAGAGAAGTAGGGATTCACTATTATCATAAAGTTTCAGCAATCCGTTTTTTTTTTTTTTTTTTTTAGCGGGAGCACTGGAGTTTCGTCATTATGAGTTTGGGTTTCGTCTTTCGTCAGCAGAATTTGAGGTTTCGTCCGTCAGGGGTTTCGTCATTTTGGGGCGTCTTTCGTCACCAAGCAAAAAAGATTTCGTCTAACAATTATACTTACGATGAAGCGCTTCAGTATATCCTTCAAGATAAAGCAAATAAATATCAGCAGATAAAACAAATCGACGAACAAATAAACAAATTTTCAGAAGGTTCTTTCAATAACTATATTATACATATATTTTTTTAAAAGTCTGATCTACAATTTTTTTTTTTTTCTCGATAACAGCTGAACGCAACGATGAAATCATTAAGGAATTGGAAGCACTTCACCAAAGAAAATATCATTTACAAGTTCAAGCTGAAGTAAACGATCCAGAAATTCGACGGAATTTCAAGAATGATAAAAGTATGTATTATTATTTTATAAATCAGTTATTATACGAGAATGCTATCTGACTTATTTATGTTTTATAATAGTCGATATGTTTATACCTGTTTATCGTCATTTAAAAGAAAAGCATTGGAAATCTGGTCCTCTTCCGAAATTGGTATCAATTATTATTATTATAATGGATGATTTCATATTTTTCAATCGCTAATAATTTAATTAATATCTAATATTAGATGGAACGTATAACACAAATGTATGTTGTACCAGATGTATTTCCAGACTTAGAGCCTACGATATGCCTTGAATTTAAATTTGATGATGAATTTGTTGAACCTGGATGTTTTCAACGGCCTATAAGAGTATGTTCTATCGATAATTTAGTGGGGGTTTTTTTTTAAACACACTTAATGATTTAAGTGTTTACTTAAAGACAATAAACCCTCCTACAATTGTTATGAACAGTTTCCATGTAGAAACGCGCTTATATACTCTCATTATGGTAGATCCAGGTGAGTAAGGTGCTAGTGGTTTCGTATGGTTGTGGTTGTGACAATTTACATTAAATTTGTTATTATTTGTTATTCTAGATATGCCTGATGTAGAAAATAAAAGTTTCCAAATGCAATGGCATTGGCTCATGTAGGCCACACGAATTATGTTGCCTTTTATTGCTTATAATGTTATCAATGAATCACATAGATTAACAATATGTTTATTAGAACAAATATTCCTATTAATGCTACGAAAACTGACATCTCTGGTGGAAATGAAATCTTACAGTATGTGTCGCCACATCCGCCTAAAGGTACTAAATATCATAGATATACCTTGGGTGCTTTTGAACAGCCCGATGGTAAAATCGAAATGACAAAAATGGATCTAAAAATGAATGTTCGCGAGTTTGTAAATCAATATAATTTGATATTACGTGGTGCAACATTTTTTCGTGAAGTATGGGATAAGGATGTTAGTTCAATTTATAAAAATCAATTAGGTAATTATGAATAATTCTCCTAAAACCATATAAACAATCTTGATAACCTTTTTAATACTTCAAATCATTGTTAAAAGGTATCAGTGAGCCAATATACGGTAAACCACCCAAGATTGACCATTATTTGGATGCGACTGGAAAAAAACGACCATCGAAATTTATAGAAACTTTAGAATAAACTTGTTAAAAGTTGATTGTTTATTTAGAATATATAATACCCTAAATACTCAAGCTTTCAGACTAGGATCTTGACACGATCACATATCGATACCAGATTAATTTAATAAAGGGTCTCAAAAAATCAAAATAGTGAATTTATTAAATTGTTAAATGTTTTGATATGCTAAATTTTAAATGATATCATCACACTCTTTATTTTTATACAAAATGCTGTATGTCAAAGAAGTATTAATACTAAGTAACCGTTAATATATTATTAGAAGTTTAAAAAATTTATATATTATATATTCTCCAATCTCGACTCCCAACTCACTGATTTATTAAAAGTTTTAATGTACAATGTAAAGGAAGTTTGGAGAAGGGGATATGATATGAAGAATATTGTAGTAATAATTTTTTTTTTTTGTATCATACAATTAAAAAAATAAAATTTAAAATTTAGTCAAATATTAAAGCGATCTAGCGCCCTCTGTGTTTTCGTAAATTTGAAATGATAGAAAAAAAATGAAGGTGGATTGATGATCTACCAACCACGTAAAGAATTATAAAATGAACAATTTTCTACAACCCATAGTTCTTAGCCACCCAATGATTAACAAGAAAAAAAAGCCACCATATTTTGCAGGTAATGAATACCTTAAGCTAGTGATATGAATCGAAATCGATTAATCGAAAAGTTGGTCAAATTGGCAACTATTCGATCTAAAAACTTTTGCAGAAACTAATCGTTGAATTAATTATTAATATATATAAAGAAAAAAAAAAAGAAGCTTTTCACTGCATCTAATCAAAACTAATTCATGAAAGTTGATCCAACTAATCGATTAGATAATTTTTGCCGATTCGAATCACTACTTGGAGCGTTCGACTCTAATAAACTTCAACATACTCACATAGTAGCTTGTATTCCGTTCGGTGATGTAGGTAATTTGTCTTTTTCTAACTTTTTACTTTTTTCAAGTTTTTTCTCACGTTTTCTTTCTTCTTTTTCGGCTTTTTTATCTTTTTTAGATGTTGTATTATGTTCTTTACCATTTTCTTCAACCGTTGATCCTGTAGAGTTAGATTTTTTATCATCTTTATCATCTTTCTTATCCTCTTTCTTTTCTTTACGCCAAAATAACGCTGTTTTTTCGGGCTTTTCTCCTGAAGGTGTTTTTTCATGCGTATTAATAGAACCTTCTTCATTAATTTTCGAAATATTATCTTGTTCAGTGTTGGATTTACGTTTTTCTGTATTTTTCCACAAAGATAATCGATCAGAAAACGATGGCTCCCTTATTGGATGCCGTCGAGTTTCGGCATTATTTGTTACAGAGGTAGTATCATTATTTATTGTACCACCATTTGCAGGAATTGATATATCAGTAACTGATGAATCATTAGTTTCTAGTGTATCCAATTCTGTTGATGAAGCACTAGAACCTGTAACATTGCTATTTGTCCAAATAGTGTTCGATAAACCATTAATATTTTGATCCAGATCACAAGCCTGATAAAATAGCACGTAACCCGATCCAGTCCCTGGAGAATCACCAAAATATTTTTGGATTTCAGCTTCATCAACAGTCTACCAACGAATGATGAAAAATATATATTACTTTGTGTATAAACTTAAACCAAATAATTTATAAATTACATTTTGTTTCTTACCTCAACGTTGTCATCATCGAACAAAAGCCACTGCCCCATACTTTTCACTAACGTTACATAGTGACCATGGTACGGTCCACTGTAAGTAAGAATATGTTAATAAATTGCAGGAAACAGATTACAGCAAAATATACTTATATTCATTCACCTGCCAATATGCACACAGACAGCATATAGTTCATATAGACGATCTGGATCTTCCATGTCATCGCACTAGTCAAGTAAAATGCTTAGAATAAGCGTGTTTTTAAAAAAATAAAAAAGTCAAACTGAAAACTCACAGTATTAAATAGCCGTAATTCAAAAGGAAATACCACTCTGTATGATAATTTAATGTATCTTTGTAGTTTCTCTTGATACTTGAAGCGTTTTAAATGAAGTGCTAGTACATTTGGCAATTTTTTTATTTTCATTCTGGTCAAATAAATATATGAACGATTAAACTGTTATAAACTAAATATATCTATATAACAAAATAAAAAAAAATGATATAACGATCAACATACCTCTTTTCCGCCTCTTGATAACCACAACAAACATCACAAAAGAATTTATTTTTATGACATAACATCTCGCTCGCAGAAAATTGCCGTAAGCATGATGTAACCGAAGAATTCTGTTCAATATCAATGGATAGATCAAGGAAAGATTCATCTCGGCTAGTGACCTGAACATTATATAATAACATTGAGAAATTAACAACATTATAAAAGTTAAAATACAATGAACTACATGAACACTCACAGTTTCGCAAGTTAAACATTTAGTCTCATTTGTTAACGTTCCTTCGAAAAGTTGATGGACCCAAGTGGTATGTGGAGACGTACCAGAATTTGATTCAGAGCTTTTAGAAGACTTTTCGTCTGCTGTGATAATAATCGCAATTCATATAATTAGTTTACATACACTCTAATACTATAATATATTATAATTCAGGATTGGCCAAATCACTGGTAGGCCAAAAATTTGCGAGTCGATGGTTAAAGTGTCTGGTCAAACTAGTCAAATAGTTTGCCTATTAATTAAGTGAATGTTCTATAGAATAGGTGGACAAACTCCGCCAAATATCACGTGAATATATTAAAAATTAATGATTACTAATCATTGGAGAAGCTTATTTCTTATACCCACATAGAACATCCAATTAAGTAATTGGTCACACAAAATATAACATTTATTTATATACCATTTGACTAGTATAAACCCTTGGACCGGACCAGCCAGCCAAATTGGTCAGGTCAAGCTTGACCATGTAAACCCTGAAATTATAATGCGTTATAATGTCATAAATTGTAACAATAGTCAAATATAATATATTACCATCATCACTTCCATGCGTACTTGTACCGTTAATCGTTAATTTAGATTTATCGATAATGTTACAGAACGGTGACTGTTCTCGTTGCACTCTTTCAGCTTCTGCCATTTTTTTTTGTTGTTCTAAAACATTTTCAGCAATAGCATTTAGGACGTAATTTAAGAATTCATGAGCGTCTTGATGCATTGTTGACCGGAAAAGTTCTATTAATATGTAAAAGAGAATTGAATATAAATGAAATAATTCTAATTCTTCTATAACACAAAAAAAAAACTTACCATTTTCTTTTTTTAATTTTGTAACGAAATTATTTGGTGCTAAGGAACCAGTCCGTTTTTTCTGACTGCTTATTTTACAAAATAAGTCCTTCAAAGCACCAAATAAAGTGTTTTCGATAGCTTGAGTTGATACAAGGTTTGAATCACCATTAACTATAACAATTAATAAAGGTTGTAAATAAAACTCTTACGAATAACAAATTATAATAAAATAGAAATATACCTTTATTTTCACCATTGACCTGGTCTTTTTTGGAAGAAGTAGAGTTTGCAATAGATGGTTGTTGAGTTTGTGAAGATATGGATTGCATATTCGACCCAACTGACACATTGGGAAAATTAATGACGCATTCCCGAAAAGGCTTACAAAAATAAAGAGCTTGTAAGATAGAATTGCAATAACTGCATTTTAATGAAAGCGAGAATTAGCAATAATACTCTAGCAAGATTTACAAGAAATTCCTTAGTGAAGAGTTACGTACCAAGTATTTCCGAACTGAATAAATGTAAAATTCCAAGAAACAAAAGGAAAACGAGTTAAAATGTTGTAGAGTTTTGCGATTGAAAAAAGTATGATAGAATAATTACATTTTCTAAGCCGAAATATTTTTCAGAGCTAGCACTCCATGCATCGGTTGGCGGCGTTTTTCCAGGAGTACCCTGAGATTAAACAATCGCCGGAAACAAAAGAGAGATTAGCGGTACCTGTCACCAAAGCGATCATAAAGCTACATTTCACCCTATTTACCTACATACAAATTACAAATAAAGAGGACGAATAAAATTAAAGAAAAAAACATACCACGATCCACCTTAGAAGTGACATTAGTTTTTTTTTTTTTTTTTTTTTTGTTAGCTTTCGTAGAATTAAATAAGTAGTTTATCTACTTAAGCTTGAACAAAGATTTCAAACTTTTATAAAAAATTCCCGGCTCAAAGACCAACCAGAATAAGTAAGAATCAGCAGTGTAATTTCAAAATCGGCCATGAATCAAATCTTGATTGGATAGATTATAAACCGGCCAAAAATTTTATTGACAAAAAAAAAAAGAATCCATAAAACCGGAGCAATCATAACAAATATATATCCCACATGGAATATATATAGCTTAGCGAAAATTTAATTGTAACTATATTTCTGTATTTCTTGTAAAATAATCTTATAACGACAAAATTATAATTGATATAATAAATTTGCGTTACTAATGGGGATAATTCGTACAAGTGAACACGGAAGCTACGGAAAAACGACGGAATCCAACGAAAGGAGCTTTGACCAGATGAATGGAGTCTTCGAATAAGCATGCATTCAAAAAAATCGATGTGCGCCTTAAAATTTACAAAGCATAACTTTTTGAGTTTAAAATTGTTCTTTTACAGATGAAATGCATAATTTCATTACTAATTGGAGCGGAGACTATTTAATTTGATTGGTTATAACGGAATAACTAAACTTTGATTCTCGAAATGCACATTAACCTGATAAACTTAGTAAAAGTTATTCTTTTTGGGGGGGGAACGGGCTGAATTGCTGAATTGCGTAAAATCAGAAAAAGCGAAATAAAATTGGCAATATCAATGAATCGCCAAGATATTCTTTACCCTCGTTTAATACTTATGAAACAAGAGTGTCAACAAGAATATCAGGAAGTAAGTATCATTTGTTCTAGTATTGGATGGTTTAGTTAGCTGACGCAAGCAAAATTTTTTGATAGCATGCTACTACAGTATTAGGCATCTATTTAATTTATTAAAACCCTACGAAGCGAGTGTCATAAAAATAATATTATAGGAATGCTTATTGAATCTGATTTTCTTTTCTTTCATTTTTATTCCGTACGGAATTATTTTCCCTCGCGCAAACTGCATTGGGCTGTTAATATATAGTAGCATATTTATGATGAAAACCTGAAATACGGACTAATAATGGTGAGAATACATTTAGTTCATGGAATTCACTAGAATAATTATTATGAATTAAAATTACTCATTGAATAATTTCACTTCTCAAGTTTGGATCCTTTGGTAAAAATTTCCCCTCTGGTTCGTAATGTTCACAGTGTTCTCGCCGTTTTCAAAAACGGTAAAATTATCGCGAATCAACAATCCTGCGATTACGAATTGTACGTAAAAAAAAAAATAAAAAAAAAAAAAAAAAATTAATAATAATAAAAAAATAAAATAGGATAAAATAAAATAAAATTAAATAAAATAAAAATAAATAAATATGCCATACATATTGATAGATTTGGTCAATTTCTTCAAGAAGCACGTTGATATTAGCATATATGTATTTTTAACAAAAACACTTTATTTGCATTTTTTTTTTTTTATTTGCATTTGTAACCTTAATTTAATAATGCCCAGCCTATTATATCTAGCATGAAACCGGTTTTCATATACGCCATACCCCAAAAATATTCGCGAAAATTCTTCAAGCTAAATTTACTGCACATAATTTTTTTATTATCGGTCACAAATTGGTATATTTTATTACGCACTTCTGGAAGTATCTCTCCCTTTATAAAAGAATTTTACTAAAATTCTAAAATTCATAATCGTAATGCTGCAAGTTAAAATGCCCCAAAAATATCTTATATACAGATTATATTTGATATTGATTAACTTTTTGTTTTTGGTTGCATATTATTCTTTAATTATAAAAATTAATGGATATCAATATCAATATAGTAATATTAAAATTTTCAATTCAATCTCGGCTTGTACATAATTTAGTGAAACGTTGTTATCTTTCCTTCTAATGTCTTCGGGTTTGGGATTCTTTCGCATACGTATTTTTTTTTTTTTTTTTTTTGTTGACGCCTGAAACAATTTTATTCTAAATTGTATAACCAATCGAAAAACATTTTTTGATACGTATAGTAAATATCGAGCAAAATTCCGATAATATATACCAAATAAATGAATTACATGACGCCCACATGTGTTACTTCAAAATAGTATCAATTTTTTGAACTTGACATACGTAATGGCATCAATTATGGTATGTTATTTTAGAACGCACATGGGTGTTATTTAAACCAAATACTGTATATTTTTAAAAGATTATCTTTCCAAAAACCTTATTTGATAAACATATTAATTTTTTTTTTTTTTTTTAGGATATATAGCTATTAATTATACATTAAAAAATGGCATATTTTTAATATAAATCTTTTATAAATTTTACTTTTAAAAATAACCAAAAAAAAACAAAATACAAATATAATAAATATATAATATAAAAACTTTAAATTATATTATTATTATACAGTATAGTAATAATTAGTGATTGTACCCGTATTAGGGTGTTGGCGCAAATATTTTTTAGTCGTAATGGCACGGCAATGTATTTTTTCCACACATGGCATGACGTATGGTACACATATAACTTTCACAAAATTTAAAAAAATTTAGATCGTGAAGACTCTTCATAACCAACCATAATTTAGCTTAACCTCTAAAATTTTAGTTCAATTTTTTAATTCTATCCATAATAACTATTTATAATATAGCTCGTGAAGATTCTTCACAATCTAATTTAATTTAATTTCTAAATTTAGTCTAGGTTTGATTTTTTTAATTCTATATATATACGTTAACACTGTCTAATTGTATGCCATTCGTTAGACTTTTTTTATGCATATAGACTGTATATGCGTCTAAATTATAAACCATTTTTGTTAAAGAAAAAAGTTTTATGTATTCAGAGCATATATATAGTGTGCAATTAGACAGTATGTAATCACAGTATGTAATTAGACAGTATGTAATTAGACAGTATGTAATTAGACAGTATGTAACTAGACAGTATGTAATTAGACAGTATGTAATTAGACAGTATGTAATTGGAAAGTATATATTATATATAATTATATATATAGATAGTATATATCTATAAATATATAAGTGGCTTATATATATATAGATCGAGAAGATTCTTCTAACTCTAAAATTTGATATTTTAATTCTATCTACAGTATAAGTGAATCCTGTGCTGTATAAGCCGTAGAGGTATTGATTTAATTTTATCTGTAAGTGACATATACTGTTAATTGCATATTGTCAAATTGCATATACTCTCTATATGCATAAAAAATTTTGGTTTTTAATTACTGTCGTGAAATCGAATGGTGAAATTTGGGGTCTCTTTTGAAAATATAAACCTTACTGAAATCTACTCTTTTCTAAGCAACTCTTACCCTAAATTCTAACCTATCACTAAAAAAAAAGCTAGGATAATACACCCTAAAAAATTTTAAAATTTCATATAAAATTATATAGATCCAAATTTCGCCATCATCCGATTTCATGATCATCCGTGACAAATAATAATATTCGAATAATTTAAATCGGCAAATATCTATTCGAATCTCCGAATAACTATCAGAATTCGAATAATTCATCAGATAAATATTTATTCGAATATTCGTCGAATACGAATATTATTCGAATAACGAATACGAAGTGAACTCGATCATAGATGACCAGAACTTTTTTCATTAATATATACCATAGTGCCAAAAAAAATTTCGATAAATTAAGCTCTATTATGATTGGCTCACTATTTTGAACACCATTGACGACGCCATTTACCTTACGCCAGCAACCCTAACTAGGAATCTGCAAATACCCATGCTGGGCAAGATTGTGTGCCCATGGGTGCAGCCATTTATAGCAAGGCTCCAAGCATTTTTGGCCATCTGCGTCCGTGCCTTTTGTTAGGCAAAAATTAGAATATATAGATCAGTATGGTATAGGTGACAGATCGGCCAATTTTTCAATAATACCTGATCCGTATAGTATAGATTTGAAAATCGGCCTATACTATACTTATCTGCGAAAGTACTGTTAGGCACGGGCCTGCAGATCCCTAACCCTAACCCGTACAAGAGTTACCCGGGTAACCCGCACAAGATCTGTTAACCGGGTCATAGTTACAACCCGGATTAGATTAAAGAAAAAAACTTAATTATGCGCATCAATTAAATAATGTGAAAATTTAAAAAAAATAAAGTTTTTTATTTTTCTAACTGCTTTTTCAACAAAAATTAACCAATTTGAATGCTCTAACCACTTTTAGATTATCTTGATAAACTTTATAATTTTTGTTAAAAGTAAAAAATACTGTAGTAATTTAATATAAAAAAAGCTTTTTGGTTAAATACTGTATAGTATTTTTATCTACAGTATACAGTAATAATAAACATAGTAAATATATATTATACTGTATATTAAATAACTAGTAAATCAATCAACTCTTTCTGATGATTACCTGTACCAAAAAATCCAAACACAGTTTTTTGTAAAAAACACAATAGCACTTAGTAAAATACGGAGAGCTAAATCTAGAAGCTATAAGTTAGCAGTTGTTATTTAAAGGTAGTTCTCATATGCTACCTGCTAACTTTTTCAGAGTTTATCACTCACTGCTTGCACGGCACTTGTCGTTTAGAAGTAGTTCTCATATGCTACTTGCCAACAAGCCCAGAGTTTATCACTTATCGAAAAGAATAATATAGGTGTCATACTCTTTTTCTAAAAGAAGGTTTAAGAGTTGTTGAGTCTTTACATAGATATAACCACTTTTGTTGGGTGCAAGTGGTCCCTCTCTAAGTGTTTTTTATTTAGTCAGTCATCTCTAAAATTTTCGACAAAAAGTAGATGATTCAGCTTATCCCCTTCAAAAGATCGGCATTGTTTATCTCCCAAATTCGGATGTACCTAGAAATGCAACCACATGTCTTGTTTATCGATGGATACGACACGCAACATAGTCTATAGATACGGGTCCTCCATGTGACTAGGATCAGGTCTCTGGCATAA